ACAGAAGACCCCCAGATGCACTCTGTTTTGTGTGTGAGAGCATTAAAAATACAGGTCTGAAGCCTGCATGCTCTATGAATGGAACTTAACTTCACCAAAATTTTGGAGACATTGGTCCTTGGAAAAATTATTTGTTGCAGGCAATAGCAACAAATTCAAGTAACAGGATCTGGCTTTTGTTTCTTCTCTTCTGTTATAGCCCACGCTTGATAGATAGCCTGCAATAGGTTCCAGAACGAAAATATCATCTCTGCCCACACCAGCACTGAATTACAAGCCTTGCACAGGTATGCAGAGCCCTATGATGCACAGCAAAACACAATCCTCCAGAAACACGACTGCAAGAAACTGTCACTTACTTGTATACAGGCTTATGGATGCTCCTTCTCCTTCCGTCTCACCATCAGCTGCTACTGCAAAGACTGTGAAAGTGTATGGCGTCCCAGGGGTTAACCCAGTAATTTCAGTTTCTGTGATATTTGATGTTTCATTGTAAATGGAGTGCCCATTGCTAACCTCTATTCTGTATGTGTAGGTGTCCGAAGCTGTGTCATTCACTGTCCAGGTTAAGTTGACAGAAGTCATACCAACATACTCTGCCTTGAGATCAAATACTGGTGTCGGCTCTAGGAAAGGCAGGAAAACAAACTGTCAAGACAGAGAAACACAGAGAAAAGCCACAACTATATGCACATAGATTGAGCATTAAATGTAGCCAACAAGCACTTCTAATGTACTGATGCCCTGCTACAGACATGCTGGGACATCCCTGTAAAGGCCTCAGGAATTTTAAAAGAGATTCTCTTTATTTCGTGTCACATGATAGAATATATTTTTCCACAATGGCTTCCCAGAGAGATATAGAAATGGAAATCAGGTAACAAAGCAGAATACAATCCCCCTTGTTATTTTGTATTGACTTAGTGTGTTCCCTTGCCACTAATTTATACGGATGTTGTCTGCCCCCTTTCCATACTGGAGCTAAAATGCAAGACAGCTCTTCTCCCATCTGCCCTTCTGATCTGGAAGAAAGGTGCCACAGCACAAAGCGACAGAAGTGGCAGTACAGTTGATAATGTGATCCTAGACACAGTCCCAGCCCACGGGAATCCCAGGCCATGGGCTGTGCAGACAGCTCAAAAGAATCTTAAACAACAAAAGTCTCCCTTGCACACCACAGCCTATGAAAACCCTATGACAACCTGCTCCAAGAAGCACTGCAGGGAGCCAGTTCAGCCCTAACCACCAGACAAGGTCATGCTGCTGTAGCAACTAGACTCCTACATATCTCATCAGTTAGGGTGTTCAAGACTAACTGCTCTACAGGCATCTCTCATACAAGCTGAGCCCTTTATCTTTTTAACAGACTGTTTGACATTCATGTTCACAAGAACCTGAAGCAAAGCAACACAGCAATGAACAACAGTACAAAGCTGGAAAAAAAAAAAAAAAAAAAAGGAAAAAAAGCAGGACTCTGTTACAAACTGTTTCTTTACTTGCAGTTGAGAGGCACTAATGGTTTCTTACTTGTGTAGAGGCTTGTGAATGCTCCTTCTCCTTCTGTATGATTATCAGCTGCTACTGCAAAGACCTTAAAATTGTACAGAGTCCCAGGGATTAATCCAGGAACCTCAGCCATGGTGACGTTCGATGTCAGGTTGTCATTAAAAGAGACACTTGTAACCTCTATCCTATACGTGTAGGAGGCTGACGCTGCGTCATTCACTGTCCAGGTTAAGTTGAC